ATATGCTGACTCTGTAAACCGCTTAGAGAGGGCTGAAAGCCCTATGAAGCGGTATATAAGTCTAACTTCTATTGCTATTGCTATTGATGTCATGATGCATTTCCCCCCATATTTTAGAGTCATTCTGATTGTGTATAGATGCCTAGGAGCCCAGGAAAAGATTCTAGATAGAAATGGAGATTTTTATATCAAATTGCCCATTCTTTTTCTCTGGTAACAAGGCAGCCCGGCCCTACTACCCTACCTCCCTCTGGTGGTCATTGTCAAAATCTTCCTCAAATTCCTCCAAATCCTTGACACACAACCACAATTTTGGTCATAAGTTGTGATGGTCATAAAAAGGAGGTCATCACACAACCATGCATGACTTATAACCTTTTTTGTAGCAGTCATTACACAAATGCGATGGTCATTAAGTGGAGAATGGAAGGATATATGTCCTTGCGGTCATTAGCACTCTCCTGCGAATTGTTGAGGCCTCTTGGAGGTTTATCTTTGTTCTTAGATGACTGCAAGGAATATGCATGCTTCCGTTCTCCACCATTCATCCAGTCAGAACAGAAGATGCTTCTTGGGTAAGAAACAAAACATCTTCAAGTGGGAAAAAAACAAGATAATCCAGTTGTCTTGATAAAGCACCTTTGGAGAAACTTTGCAATAGCTTCTTTAGGATTCTTAATGGTAAGAATTTATCTACTATGCTGCACCGCTGTGATATTCACCAGCTTAATGATAAAATTTCCCTTTGGGTTTGTGAGCCACCCTGAGTCCCTCTGGGAATAGGGTGGCATATAAATAAAATGAACCTCGAACCTCGAAATTTCATCCGTGGAGATGCTGCCATACAAAACGGATTAATCCCAAACTGGCTAAAATGTCGGACTAGGAATGGGAAGAACCTGATTCTTGATCAAACCTCAAGTCATGGAAACTCAATGAGTGATTTTCAGCCAGTTGCTCTGTCTCAACCCGAGCTACACAGCTGCTGTTATGGGGAGAAACATGAGTAAGAAGCATTTTGTACACTACCTTGAGCAAAAGGCAGTGTTTAAATACAGAAGTTGTTTTTAAGGTGACAGTTATAACTGTTTAAAGACTACAGATATTCCTCAACGTACGACCACATTTGAGCCCAACATTCCTGTCGCTAAGCAAGACAAATGTTAAGTGAATCTTGCTCTATTTTACAACTTTTCTTCCCACCGTTAAGTGAATCACTGCAAAGTTGCTAAGTAACACAATCTGTTGAGTGAATCTGTCTTCCCCATTGATTTTGCTTGTGAAGAGGTCTCAAAATATGATCACATGATTCCGACTGTTGTAAATATGAGCTAATTGCCAAGGATCTGAATTTTGATCACATGAGCATGTGGTCATAAGTGTAAAAAATGATCATAAGTAATTTTTAGTGCTGTTGTAACTTTGAATGGTCACTTAATGAATGGATATAAGTCAAGGACTACATGTATTCTGAAGGATATAATTCCTGGCCACATTTGCTGATTCAATATGATTCAAGTACAGTACATTCTACCTGCATTTGAACCGAGAATATTTCATTGTTCCAAATGAAATGAAGCTTTTGGAAATCTGATATTTTTCCCATTCCTGCAAGCATATAGAAGCAGAAAGAGGAAGACAGTTAGCTTTCCAACTCCATTATAGTGCTGAGTAGCATGTAATATACATTTTAAAAAATTCACGCAGCATAAAATGCAAAAAAAAAAAAAAAACATCCAGAGAAAATCACCACCATCTGATAAATTAGACAATGCACAAGGGGCCTTTACACAAAATATCGGACTATTTTATTTTATGCTGAAAATACACAGTATAAAATGTTAAAGCTTACAGCAAATCTGAAATAACTAACATTTTAATTAAAGATAGTTTTA